TGTGTGTGTGTCTGTGTAAGTGTGAGTGTGAGTGTGTGTGAGTGAGAGTGAGTGGGTGAGTGAGTGAGTGAGTGAGTGAGTGGGTGAGTGAGTGAGTGAGTGAGTGAGTGTGTCTGGGTGCGTGCGTGCGTGCGTGCGTGTGTGTTGTGTGTTGTGTGTTGTGTGTTGTGTGGTGTGTGGTGTGTGGTGTGTGGTGTGTGGGCCGAGGGAGGTCCAGGAGGAAGCCGCTCTCAAGGGCGGGAAGCTCTTCAATGCCGGTGGCCAGCATCAGGCTTGCACTGACTTCACGAACGCGATGGAGAAGCCAGTGTATATCGGCTGGGGCTCCATGGTCTACTCCAGGGAACACATGGCTCGCCTGGCGGTTGGAGCACTGAAAGAGGCCGGAAAGCGGGGCATCATCGTTGGAGGCTGGGCCGAGCTCTCTGAGGAGTCCTTGGGTGGCGACGAGCATGAAGGGCTGAAAGCCTTGAGCCGCAACAACGTGTTGTTCCTCAAGTCTGCTCCGCGCGAGTGGCTCTTCTCGCAAATGGCGTGCTGTGTGCATCACGGCGGAATTGGCACCACGCAGGCGTCACCCCGGTCTTTTCAGACCAGAAAGACATCGCGGAGAAGATGAACCGGGATCAGACCGGCGCTGGCACTTGCCATTTGTCGCTGCTCACCGCCAAGGAGCTGGGCGCACAGATCAAAAAGTGCTGCGAGGATCCCACGATCTTGTCAAACTGCACAAAGCCTGCAGAGAAGATTCAGCAGGAGGATGGCGTCAAGACAACTGTGGAGTTCGTGGAGAAGTACATGAAGGAGCAGGTGGCATCTGGCGAGTGGAAGAAGAAGAAGCGCGATGCGTTGGCAGATAGGCTACAGAAGGCTCATCAGAGGTTCAAGAAGCTCTCAGATCCTGGCCAGATCGTCCCGAAGTGGAACATGGACTTTGCCGAAAAGTACCTACCCATGGCAGCACACATGCAGGACCAGCTGGATATGGCAAGCTGACGGCCGTTCTGTCCAAGAAGAAGCTGTGGTACGTGAAGTCCTCCAGCGGCTGCCTCGCGAGAAAGGGGGAAGCCTTGAAGTCCGAGGAATGTGGGCGCTACAAGGAATTTGCAGTGCTGCAGGTGCTCCGAGCCAGCAAGAACGGAAGCCTCCGTGTTCGGCGCTTGAAGGGCATAGGTCCTAGTGTGTCCCGGAACCGGCAGACTGCCGACATATGTGATCAATGTTTGATCTGCCTTTAAACAAACTAGGTGTCTATATTGGAAACATGTGTACATGTTCGTTTTCGCGAGGTCTTGAAGTCCAGCAAGTGCAAATGATGCCTTGAAGAATAAGTCACATGTCCCCAAAAACCGCTGTTGGCACTAAAGTCATCCCCGGGCTTTCCTGCCCCCTCCACACGCGCAGGATTTCTGCCCGTGGGTTTTATCTTACCATCCGCATTCCCAGCGCGGCCCGAATGCTTCCCAAGCCCTCCGCCAGGCCTCGCGGGGCAACTTCCGGACCGACCTGCTGCGACTCGTCTATCAGTCTATCAGTCTATCCTTTGCATCCAGTGCTTTACTGGCGCCCGGCTTTTTCCCTTGCTTGGGTTCCCCGTTGAACATGGTCAACCCCCAAAGGGTGTTTCCCTTTGTCGACCAGAATTGCCAGGGGAGCGGGGAGACATGTCCCCATTTCAACATCACCCCAAGAGGAAGACCAGGAATTGCCAAGAGGATTCAGCCCACCCACACCAAAAGGGAGATGTCAGGACCCTTGGTGTTCTGAGTTGTATCGTTTGACAAAAAGTGTGGTGTCGCTCTTTCTCGTTTTCCAGACTTTGCCGAGAAGATTCATTTGGATACAAAGCAGCGAGTTGCAAATTCAGCTTCGCATCTCCCAAGGGCGAATCCCCATGCTAGCTTCCAAGGTCTCCAGTCGCTCTGTGCTCATACTGTATCCACCAACTTTCCCTTTTCGCAAAGTAAACCAACAGCGGATGGGTATTTTTGCCCAGACTCTGAACAGCTGAGCACTGGCTTTGTTCCCAGTTCGGACCGGATTGATTCATGCGCATGCCAAATTCAGGACTCGGAGCAATTGCTGTGCTCATGTCTTGAGCTTATAGCTTGCTTCGTTTCGCCAGGGGGTGGGGGGAGCGTCGCGACAATTAGTATCCCCTGCCTCGCTTGCCCAAGCGAATTGACTAATGACCTTTGGTGGGAACAATTCTAGGATACCAAATAGTTTGATCCGCGTTCCAAAATAGCTGCCGGGGCTCTTGTGAGATTTCGGCACCATGGGAAGACGTTGCCAAGCGGTTTTTCGTGACCTTCCGGATCTCCACAGCGCGATTTGTCCAAGAAACATGGAGCATAAAGGGTTGATTTTCTTGAGTTCCTATTTCTTACCCGATTTCTGTCTTTTGCACTCACGACGCTGCGCAAAGCAGGGCAGAACTGTGTCTTTTGTTTGCAAGGGTCCAGAGTGGCAAAAGGCCTTTGGGATGGCTAGAGACCTTTTTGTCCAATGCGTTTGACTGATTCTCGAACTCTAGACTCTTCCTCCCTGAGTACGTAGTCCCATGTTCACATTTTTCTCATGCGCCACTGTCTCGGGCTCAGCATTTCCGTAGGCTGGACGACTCGGACTAGTGCGAGGCAGGACCCGAGTTTTTCTTTCCAAAGCAAAGGGACGTGAGGTGCAACTCATGGCCATTCTCATTTGACGGCCTGTGGTTTAGCTTAGGGATGATCATCCACCTCTTAGTTTTCCTTTTAATGTCAGAGTTTCTATTGGGGGAAAGCATGACTGCAGGAGATTGGGCCACTGCCTGTCAATTTGTCATTCTTTGGCTGGCACCTAGTGACCCTTGTTGCACTCCCAACATGCTACGTGTCGTGTCCGGCTGAGTGGTTACTTCCGCGTCATTGCATTTGATGACGTCACGCCGCGTGTAAGCCCACTGCAAGCCACTATGACGGATCACCCATGACCGCCCCTTGAAGGTTAGACATCAGGTAACGCTTAGTTGGTGGTTTGAATTCGTGGTTGGGGGATTTGAACCCCTTGCTTTTGTAGAGGGTAAATACGAAACCACCCCCAAACCTCCAAACTGCCATTTGACCATGTCTTTGGCCCTGAGCGCGTGTCTCACAAGCCCGCCCTCGGCTCCAAGTTTGCCCTGCGCAACATTTTGCGCAGCAAGCCAAACCACCAATTGCAGGAAGCTGAATACAGTTCCACCAAGCTTTCCACAGCGGTCCCCACAAGAAGCGTCAAGGGCGTCCTTCAACCAACCCAGGGTGCCACGCATGCGATGCAGGTTTGCATGCTTACTGTTTGGTAGTTAAAAACAGCACAACCGAATCCCCCTGAAAGAGTCTTCTCCACTTTTGGGGGTTCTTTGATGTTCAACCAACAAGACTGTGAAAAGATAGAAGCACCCGCCATGTTCCCAGACTTGTAGGAACCCTATTGTTTTCCCACACTTGTATGAATGCTCATGCTCCTGTATTCCTCTTCCATACTTGTGAGAGCAAACACCGCACTGCATTTTGCTTGCCTGCAGGCACGTCTTCGCGCGCTTGTTCGGGCTGCGGGGAGAAAAAACCCGTGGATCGGGGTGAAAGAGAAGGGTGACAGGAAGCGCATCAGAGTTGCTTTGAACCTCAACGCAATGACCAAACCACAAGAGTAGAAACGGGCCTGAGACCCAACTTGAATCAAGACGAACTTCACACGATGTCAAGACGCCTTTTCTTTGTGAGTATGATTCGGCAGTCCAGCCGCGCCTGGACACATACAGTTTGTTTGTATACTCTGCATGTTTTGCAGTGGTTTGTTCAAGGCTATGCTTCGACGATGGCATGCAATCCCCAAATGCCTGTGTGAAGTGAGTGAAGCTATGATTGACTGAATAACATAAAGGGAGGGAAGGAGGGGGACAGAGAGAAAGGAAGACATAAAAACAAGAAAAGGACACACACTGCATAACCACTGAAATAAACAAGTCATATGTAAACATAAATAACCAAGTCAATACATAAATAGCAGAGCATCAATAAATCAATGGATAACAAAGACGGAAACCGAGGAATCAAGAAACAACGAAATAAACGAAGAAGTATACACATAAGGAAGCAATGCAGATACCAGGAAAGCAAGCAATACATAACGAAAAACAGCTTTAAAAAGAAGGTACGGAGCAAACACAAATAAGGAAAGACATAGATTAAGACACAAATAAAGCAATAAGAGGATCAATCAGGCACGAAGAAGCACGGAATGAATGAAGTCAATGAATCACACAAGTAAAGAGAGAAAGAAAACAATTGAATCAATAAAAATACATAAAACAAAATGACACATACAATGTAGCACAGAGAAGGACACAATGAAAGACATTACACACACATGACATAAATGAACAAATAAACAAGTAAATTGATAAATCAGCATACATAATTAAAGGAAGGCAGAAGTAAAGAAAGGAACAACTAGAGAAATAAACAAAGAGCAAGAAACAAAGAAAAACAAGATGTCAGCATGCTTCAGCATTGCCACACAGTCTCTGTGCGAGGTCGAAATGTCTAGTAGTCTGTGGCCAATTCGTGAGGGAGATAGGGACTCACCATGTTTCACGTGAAACAAGACACAGATTGACATGTGTTTTCCTTCTGATCTGGATCACGGTCGTTTACTCGTTTTCTGTGGAAGGCGAGGGGAGGCCACTTAAGCAATGTCTCGCTGCCTGGGGGAACAGGATATATACGCTGTGTGGCTCATGGTGGCTCTTTTGTTTCCTGTATTTGTCCACCGGCTCGTCCCTACTGAGCATTGAGATGTGGAATCCAACAGATTTCCCAGCACGAAAGAGGAATGCCCCCAAACTTATAGACCCCTTGAAGGATGGCTGGAACAAAGGTGGTTGCTTTTTCCCACGAGAAACCTGGGCAAGACGTATTTAAAGGGGAAGAACCAGACCCAGCTGGCCCAAGGAAAGGAGGTCGACCGCTGAGGTCGGATCCAGTCAAGGAGGCCTGCGTGCAGAAAATCAAGGCGGGACAGGCGCTTGAGCGGGAGGCCTGTAGCCGGCGAATTGCTGGTGCCAAATGACCCACGTGGGATTTGTCTCGGTCTCCCAATCGGGACCTAAGAAACATGGGGCCCGGATTGTGTTTCGTTTCACTTGAAACCATGCCCCGAAAAGAGAACCAACTCCGAAAGCAGACAAGAACCTGTTGGTGTTGAACAGCAAGCCGCTGGATGGCTATTACTATAACTAAATATATATATATATATAATATCATATATAGTATGTTCAGAGGGTGTCACTCATCTATTCGTCAGCGCCAATGTGAGGGCTGCAGTGAGATGTGGGGGAGACTTCTGAATTCGATGTTTTAACAGAGATACCCACGTTCTAAACTGTAAGCCTTCTGCAGAAGGCCAAAGAAGAATGGCAAGCCAAGCATATTTTATTGAAGACTTCGTGTGCCAATTCACTAAATAGAGCCAACATATAGTATATGTCCAGTGTCCATTGAGGCTGCAACTTTTGAGGCTTCCCTTCCTCTGCTTTTCGGGTTTTGGTCCTGGTTGCCCCATGGGAGGGGTTCGGGCAGTGTGGTGGTTGTGCGATGTACCAGGCTGCCCCTGTAACGATTCCATACAACCTAGCTTGACACGATTCCATACAAAGTTAGTGTTTGGCCATGCTTATCTCTTTGCACAAGTGGTTTACCACTTCTGGCGCTGGCTTGAACAACCTGGTTTTGTAGCATGTCGGCAGCTTTAGCAGTCGGAGTTGCAGAAACAATTGTTTAGGTCAGGACTGAACCGGCAAATATCCGGACTTCGTGTTCAAGGAGCACCTAGCTCTTGACACGGCCATGGGGCAGAACCTGTGGCTCCATTTTGGGGTGGATGAATATTCATTTGCCACCTATTTTGATGTTCACCAGGGGTACAGGGTTTTGACCCACAGCCACATCTCGTCACTGCCGTGTTTGGGTGACCGCCCCGCAGACCTTGCAGCGTTCCAGCGAGGATGCCAAGAGGCTGTGGCGCCCCGGCCAGAGATGCCGAGGGAAATGGATGTGGGGTTTGGACGGAGGGCCGTGTCAAAACTAGGTACCCCGGCACCCTCCCAACACCCGCACCCCCTCCCCCGCACCCCCAAAAAAAGAGAGGCTAAACTGTGGCTACTATCTTCATGAGGGGTTTTAGAGAAAATTGTCATGCAGGATAATGTTACGTTTAGTGGCACCTGAAGCAAACGGATGCACTTGTGCCAAAGGAGTACCGTGCCTGTCCGATTTCCGGCGTCACTTGTAGCGCTTTGCGGATGTGGGTGGTAGGAGAAGGACCCTTGGAGATGGTTGCAGTGTGTCGCTAACTTACAGGAATGTATTCAACATGACAACATGAGTTGTGTTTGCATAGTGACAAGTCTTTTTGAACAAGAAGTTGGCTGTGGGTGTGGGGTTTGGCACGGGCAAATTCCAGGCAATGAAATCAATACTACTGGGTTTGCAGCTGAGCAACCACATCCCTCAGCAAAAGTCAGATTCGCTGAGTTGTGCAAGCTGACCTACCAGAGAGTCAAACATCCAGTGATCAATCAGGACGGTCACCAGCCGCTAAGTTTTAGGGTCTTTGGAGATTCATTTCAAGGTGTATCCCGTTTTATCGAGTGCAACCTCGTTGCTGTTTTCCTCTACTCACCAAACATATAATTGTTTTGCCGGGGCCCGAAGGCCAGTAATTGAAGAGGGCCCCAAGAGTTCTACTACAGCTTGGGCCATAGAATAATAGCGTGCTCCAGCTGCAAGACCACTGGGGGGTTGGCCAAGTTGGTCAATTTGGATTGAAGGCTTTGGGGTATTTTTAATCAAGGTAAGCCATTGTCATAAGAGAATGATGGACCCCCCCTAGACCCCCCCACCCCCCTCCCATATGGTTCAGGCCCTCAACTGTTAGGTCGACGCCGAAAAACCAAATAACCTCGCCGAATGTTCGAGGGGACTTCTCCGTCTCATTCCCAGGTGGGAGTTCTGCGCCGCGAGCCGAGAGCCTTTTCTTGCGATCGGTTTTGATCCCCTGAGCGTAGCCATCCACGGGAATGCAGGGAATGACCCAACTTTTTGGCGAGAAACTCACCGCACAGCGATGAGTTGTAAGTTCTGGGGGTGTATCGTTGAAGCGCATCTTGCTTTGCCAAAATGCCGCACCGGGACAGACACTTCCACTTCGGGGGCTATGTTGGTGCCCCTTCTGGCAGTTCCGTTGGACCAGAATTGGTCTGGTTCTCTTTCGGGTTGGTTCCTTTCTTTGCTCTCCTAGTGCCAGGTTCGGTAAGTCCCGCTTCGGTGATTTATCCTTTTGCCAAAGGCAGGCCAAAAGGAGTTGTTGGGTGATGTTCGTTATTGCCGGTGATACAACCCTATGTAATAACTACCCCAGCAATAATAATATGGGGTTCATTCCCTACCTTCGAGACACCCCCATCTATCCCGGGCGCTAAATACGTGTATCTTCCCCACAAGTGGCGCAAGCGCGCGGCTTCGCTCGGCTCGCCATGCGCTCAGGATCTTCAACAGGGTGGGGTCCGAGACCCCACGCGCCCGGAGCCTAAGATGAAGCGACCTCGCGGCTGCATTGTTTGCCATGCGGCTCGCTGGAGATACGTGGCCATACATGTACCTAGTGCCATACGTTTCTATATATTCAGATGAACTCATGTACTATGTATCTACATGTGCGTACATGCATGTGCTATGCATATACAAAGTAAATAGGTTAACTCCCATCGCCAGAGATATGATTATGAATCATGTATTGACAAAGCCATCCCTGCCCATCTCCCGATGGAGTTCTGGGTGCGAAATAAAGCAGCATGAGTTGTAGATGTCCGCCATAGATGCAATCACAAGTGGATAGAGAGATTACTTTTGCCAGAACCCCTCTTCGCCACGTGTTGACGCACTGACAGCATTGCCCAAAACTTCAGATGGCACCCTGGGCCTGTGAAAAGTACACGATGCGCGGGCACAGTGCGTAGAAGCATCGTGCCAAGGGAGGGGCTCAGTGCAATCTCTGAAATGTTCGTTGGCTGAGATAGAGCCGTGCCTTGGAGAACTTAGTGACGGCACGTTTCCCTAGATTTCTCTCTTGGTGGATTTTGAAGATCACTTTTCGGATTCTTTTAAGTGAGTTCCTTCTGGCGTGACGATACAAAGGGGGAACGAGGAGTTCGAGGCTAACCAATTGAAACCACCTACAAACCAAAAGGTGACATCTGGAAAGCTAATTACCCTTCCTTCCACCAACATGCAAACCCACGAGAGGGTTCAAGACCTGAGATGCTCGGTTGGCTTGCGCCCGGCCCAGGCCATGACGTGCGAGTGCTGCAGGAGTTTCTATCTTCCCACAACATCAGCTGATCAGCTGATCACCGCAAGGATTCCCATCTAGGTTCTCCAGTTGTGCCCTTTTGCCCTTTTTTTGGGGGGAGGGTTCCCCTACTCAAATAGACTACAGAAAAGGGTACCCTTACTCTAACCTCTCTACTGGAGGACCTAGCCATGAATGGCGGGCTCTGGTGGGCTCGGCCGGGTTCCCCTAGGGGGCGTGTTCTGCGTAGCTTTCTTGGCAGAGAAGATTGGAGTTGCAAAGTTCCAATCTTTGAATGCATCGAAAGGCTTGCTGGCTGAGATGTCACCAGTTTCCAGACTTCAGGGAGCGAACAAGCTGGAGAGATCAAGCAGCTCCAGTTGCCCGATGCAAGTACCATACCCTTTGGCTTCCTATGTGAGCTTTTTTGTATGGCCCGAGCAAAGATCCACACGTGCGTCTCACTTCGTTTTCGTCAAGCTCACAATATCACAGCCTGGTTATGCGAAGCCAAAAAGCAAAGTTCCTGTGCCCTGTGATTTTCCTTGCTGTCGTTTGTGCATGTTTGTTGTGGTTTGGCACCTGTGGTGTGAGGGAACACTCCAGCTTGGTTGGTTTGTCTTATTCAGCGGCTTCCTTGTTACTCATGTAAGGGGTGACGTTTGTAAAGTAGCTCCGCGATGGGAATCACGAAAGTTTTAAGAACGCTGAATGGTTTTGCAAAGATGCCCGTTTGGGGAGCATGCAAATTGATTGCCGCTTCAATGTTTCGATGCGTTTTGAATCCAAGATGTGACTGCAGCTTCAGATCCAAGAAAACATGGCGCAAGGCTACAGAGAGATACAGGGCCCGACTTGCGTATACCAACAGACATTGGTTGCAACATTGATTCCAACTGCCAATGGAGCTGAAACAAATTAAGCCAACAAAGCAAGTGCTGGAGGTGCAGTGCCGCGATCGCCACGCGACAGACACAAAAGGCGCGTCAATCACAGGCCCTAGGCTCGCTCCGGGCTCCGCCTCGGTCGCCGCCATGGGCTGCGGCGCGAGCTCCGCGGAGGCCGGTTGGAACCGCCGAACACCCCATGGGGAAATCTAAGGGTTGGCGGTGCCCAGCCGTCCCCTCAGATTTTTAGCCTTTGAGGGTGGGATAGTTTCCACACCACTCAAAGTTTGACTTTTGGCAGGGGATCTGAGGACGGCCCGGCAAGAGCTTCCCGCCCTGAGTCGCCTTTTGGGACGGCTCCAAGAGAAAGCCACGTGACGAATTGACCAGTGGGTGATGCCTCTCCTGGTAGAGTTATTCTCGGGTAAAGCCCCTTGCGGAATGTTCCTGCTTCAAAGGGGGCCAATATGAAATCAGCAAAGGGCAGGATCTTCCTAGCGTTGGAGCCTGCTTTCACCACCATGAAAGAGGGGGTCCAGTACATTTCCCCCCTCCCTGCACGCAAAAAGCTGGCTGGAGGATGAGCTCACTGAGCTCACTAGCGGCAGCGCCACATGCTTGCCCATGGTTGGGCAGGAGTCCTGATGTCCTCATATTTCCTCTTTTGCAAGGACCAAACGTCAGCTAGACAAAGGTTTTCCCGAACGAGGTTGCTACTCAAGTGAACAAAAGACCCCTATTGGATCCGGAAGCTACCTGGGGATCAGTTTGCTCAGGCGAGATACGCTGCCAGCTACAAGGCGGGACATAGTTCCACGGTTTCTCGTCATTGCTTGGACACGCCAGCGACGTTCATGGCGCTGCTTGGAGCCTTAGGGTAGAAAGCTGGCGACGGGTTTGCTTTGGGAATCCTTTACCGGGCCAATGTTGTACTCTGAGGATCAGCTCTTTGGAGCCACGGTAGCCTCGTCATGGAACGCCTCGTCCATGAATCACGCGTGACATCGCCATGAAGGGGGGATGACCACGCACGTGTCAAAATACGACCCCAAAAACGGTGGGTACATGTTGGTTTCCCTTCAAACCAAGCGTGGAAAGTAAAAGAAACCGGTGCGCCCATTTAGCAATAGACCTAATTGTCTTGGCATCAGACTGAGCATAGATTCAAGACACTGTTGTGCCCCAGCTTGCTTGGATGTATCCACAAGAGGTGTCCAGACCACTGGAGCTGTTGCTGCACATGATCTACACATCCACCAGCTCATGAACCTATGAATAACATGTGTGTCGTTGTGAAGGGACTGGACATGAGCCACAGACCAACAGTCAAAGACAAGCCAACCTCAATAGGCCGTGTTTATGCGCTTTTTCCCCTGGCATGTATTTGGTTCACGTGTGACTCTCACAAGGGAGTTTGAAGGCAGTGCATTGCTCTTCAGGCGGTTTCTGGCACGCCTCAATCGCAGGCGCAGGCAGGTGGGCTGGTTGGTCAGTCTCCATTCTCTGGTGTTAATTTGCCCGATGGCAGACTCAATCCCAAAGTTGATCCCAGTTGGTTTCCTGATCCCTTAACAAAGAGCAAGCCCCTCCAGCCCCATTGGGGCCGGGCATGTTTGTTTGAAGCTCCACGGCAGCAAATCCCCACCAGGTAGTTTCTTTGGTCAGATCATGAAGATAGCGAGTTTGTGCGTTTGCTCAGAGCATGAAGCCAGGAGAAAGAAAGCGGGCATCACGTCCGGTGAAGATGTTCTACGGTTCTCTTTCTAAGACTTGAAGTGTGGACACGACGGATGCTGCTGCTCCTCAGGCAAAGAGAAGGCCCCAAGTCTGATAGGTCTGAAGGTCTGGTTGCTTTTTGGGCTGACATTCCCTGAACGTGCGCATCGCACTGGCCGGTGGAAATGCATCAGTCTTCCTTTGGGCGCAAGGGGTCCCCATTGTTTCGTTCGGCTACGTCTTTGCCATTCTCAAATCAAAGGTTTAAGGTTGAATGTTGGCTAAGTTGTAGTGTCCCGCTTGGGTTTCTTAGGCCTGAACTGCGCGCCGAGTTGCGACGAGGAGAGAAGCTCAAAGATGTGACTCACGCTGTTTTGTTCCGCCTATGAAGCGACAGGCAAGTGGTTCAAAGCAATGGTTCCTGCAGCCCAACGATTGGGGCGCGGGGAAGGCTCTCATGCTTGCCTATGGCCCTGGAAGATATGTCGAGATTCAAGGCATTTTGGTGATCGTCTTTCTTGATGTTTAGTCCGAGCCCTTTTTCGCTTGTTGGTTTCATGGGAAATCAACAAAGCACAACTGAGGTTTTCCCCTGGAGAAATCAACACCAGGACCCTTGTGAATGGGCGAAACCGACCATAGGTGTCCTGAGTTTTTCATGCAGCTTTTACGCACACCCATCTCACCGAAACACCATGATTATAAGATCTGCTGATCTTGAAACGAATTGAGGTTGTCATTATCCTGGCCAACAAATTTTTGTAACGCTGAATCCCCTCGAAAGGACACAGAACACAGACCCCCACGGCTCCCGATGTGCGCAATTGGTTTCTTGGAAGAATATCCCTTCTTGGTTTTGCTATAAAACCAAACGAAACTCCGCTTCCGTGGTTGGTACCTTTGTTGGAGTTGATTTAAATGGTCAACACAGGGGAGCCGCCTTGTTTAGGTCCTTTCTTCTCAATTGTGCGGTTGAGACAACCCCATTTGGCTATGACTTTCATTCAGGACGCCATTAAAACATGCTTGGTGGTGGACACAAATTGCCCATGTAAATGCCGCCAAGGCTTGCCTTACAATTCATACCCAATTGAACCTTGCAATTCGTTTTTATTCGTGAACCTCTCTTGTTTGTTGTACAGGGAGCGCAAAGGAGGGAAGTGTTGCTAGGATCCAGTTTTTTGCGAGCTCCGCACTTACCAGCTGATTTTGGGGCTTCCATCCTCAGACAGGTCAAAAGTATAGGTGATCTTGCCTGCGGATTCTTTTGGAACCCACCCGTTTTGGGCTTCGTCTCTTTTTGTGGGGAGCCTTAAAAAAAAAAGTAAGATGGACACCCCCCATGGGGTTTGTCTCTTCTTGTGGGGAACCTTTTTTGTCCAAAACGCAAGACGGACACCGCCCTTTTAAGGAAGCCGTCAGGCCGCCAAGCCGACAGCGCCGGCGCCGGCGGCCAGCCCGAAGGCGAAGGCGACGCCAAAGGCGGCCTCGGAAGAGGCGAGGCTTTAGAACCGTATCGGCGACGTGGGTGGAGCCATGGTCAAAGCACGTCGTCCACTCAGCAAGTGAGTCAGAGCACGTCGTTTATTTTGGTTACTAAGTTACTAGGCAAATGGGATATCCGCATTTGGTTTGGGTAGACTCTTTTAGTGCCAATGCTTGATTGTGACTCCCCTTTTTACCCCTTCTCAAATTTCAATCTCAAAGTGGAAGGAATTGATACTCCCAAAGCCATCACAAATTGCTTGCGGAACGAAGAGGAGAGAGAGGGCTGAACAAGCTTTCAGTCCAAGTTGTGTTTGAGCTCCTGTTGTCGAAGGCATTGTTTCAATAATGGCCAGTCTGATTCCCATGTTCGATTTCGAGCTACACTGGCCACTTGTCGTAAAGAAGTATAAGACAAAATACCCTCCTCCCGCTAACATGGCAGCTGACAGGGGGTCCCCTTCAAGAGGAAATGATCTTCCGGGTACTTCCCAGTACCATGTTAGTGGGAGGAAGGGTAGTTCAGGTTTCTGGACTACCTTGCTTGGTTTATCAATCGACGTTGCATTTCAACAGTTGTTCGCGATGTTATTCATTATGAAATTCGCAGAAGGTGCTCTGCAACAGCGAGCTCAGGGCAGCTTGGAAGGTGGTTACACTTCCAAAACACATTCCTGTTTTGTTGTTTGTTTCCATCAGTTCTATAGATGCCTGCCAATAGCATCCGTCAACATGTTCACACTTGGCGAATGAGCTGTATAGCTTATAGTCCCACTGGAGTGAGCATCGGTGCCGTTCGGTAAAACGGACATTGGCACGATGAGGGCTCTGATTCGAATGTTTGGCTGGGCGGTACTGTTAAGCCATGCCCTCTTGGCATGCTTGGAATCTCTTTCAGACACAGTGGCAAATGCTTGGCTTCAGAGCTTTGAATTCCTGTTTCTGGGTGCAAAGGAGCCATGCCTTTGTGTATATTATAATATATATATATATATGTTATGAAATGTACAGAAAGGCCCAACGAGAAACCAAGATGGGAATGGGTAGTTAATTGGTTCATGCTTCCAGACGCTCTTAGCATCCAGCCTCAAAGGCCTCGGGTGGGCTTCCGAGGTTGGGATCGCTTCGCAAGAGGCTGCCCCGGCCGTGCAGCCCGGGCGGGGACTTTTCTGGGGGGCCAGGGTGAAGTTTCTGAAGGTAAGAAATCCAACTCAGCGGTTTGTTTGGGGGCCAGGGTCCCTCAGGTAAGAACTAGAAGGTCGGTATCTATTAGGGACACTTTGTTGAACATTGAGGTTTCCCATTCAGATTCACTGCCAAAGAAGCAGGGACTGGGAAGGCTGGGGCCAGGTTTTAGATGCAACAACGAGGGCTGGCCGCAACGGCAAATGTCCTTCACCGAAACTTCCCCAGTCCGCACGGCTTTGTTTGAGCCGAAAAAGAACAGGAAGATCTACAGGAAATTCTAGGTTCAGACGGCGTCTGCCTTTTCGAGGGAAACGGGAGCCCCTCTGAGAAGGGTTCTGCACCGCTTGGAGGTCTAATGAAGTTACGGAAGGGGGCCAAAGGGCACACCCCTTGCTCCTAATTTGCGCGGTTCCTCGTCTTGCCGCTTGGACTCCCCCACTGCCGTGGCAAGTTCGACACGTCAGAAGCCTTGCGGTCATTGGGTGGGTCTTCGGTTTGACCTATGTGCCTTTGAAACTGTTTGTGAATATGAATCTTCCCCGTGATATGTTTGTAGCAAATCATATTGTGGGGGAAGCCTAAGACCGAAAATAACTCAATGAAGTTCAATGCTGCGAACCTGCGAAGGTTCTTTTCTCAAGGCTTCCCTCAGTTTGTCAGCGATGAGTAGAGAGAGGACTCTCCCCCGGTTGGTTCACTTTGCCTTTGCTGCTAGGCTCCAAACATGATGAGTGCCATCGAAGCGACCTATTGTTGTTTTGGTGTTTGGGTCCTTGAGTGAATGTCTAACCATCGCTTTTTTCTTAGTCCTTTGCGCAAGTGGCGTTGCTCCTGTTCTCCGATAGCTGCTCAATCGTTGCCCGTTCCTGTCAAGAACGAGGGTTGACCGAGGCGTCACAGGGGACAGACAGCACTGCCGGCGCCCAAGTCCGCATTTCCCAGTTGCCGAAAGCGAGTTGACCTGTTTGCCATTTTCTCTTCTCGGAGTTCCTGCACTTAATGAGTTTTGGAAAGACCATGTCAGTGGCGAGCAATACGTTCAGTCTCTTTTTGGGCAACTCACTTTGGAGCTTTTCGGTCCATTGGAGGTCACGGCCCCCCAAAATTCAGCTTTTACTTCCCAGATCGGACCTGAACATGTTTGTGTATCTTCCCCACAACCGCATCAAGCGAGGAATTCAAAATTGATGGAAACCTTTCCTTGGCTGAATTGGTGACGTGTGTATGTGTGAAGCTGTTTGTTTTTGAAGATAAACCGTCGTGTTGCAACGGAACCTGGCGAAAGAGGCTGGGGTCCATGTCTGAAAAGGTGTGCTTTTGTGGCACGGGAACCACACATCGAAGTTAACCCTGTCCTGTCCCTAGTCGGCTCCAAGAGGCGGGGAATCCTTTGGTTGGGCCTGGCCACCAGAGGCATCGGCATCTTTCCCGAAACCCCCAACAAGGGGGTTCCATTGTATTGGCAACTGCCCCATTCTCTCCAGGTTGTTTTTTGCAGGAAGCAACGCTACGCGGAAACGGCTTTCGTTCTAAAGAGCAATAGTTGAACACATAGTATCACCCCTGCCCTAGCACCCGCTTCAATATGCAAGGCATGTCGTGTATGCTTGTTCATCCCACTTGGCAGGCTGAGCCCTTAGCCCACGAGCCAGAGGCGAGCCGGGAGCTTGTCAAAAGGCACCCATCCCCTGATGGTATGATGAATAATTATTACTTACACATAGTTCATTACACACATACCTAGGTATGTGTGTCTAACTGTTGCTACATGTGCATTCAATATTATGAGCCTTTAGGTGCAAACGTATGTGTATGTGGACCTTCATTGTAGGTGTAACACTCAAATAAATATCTGTATACATATTTATATATATATATAGATGTTGCATTATTATTACCAGTATAGCCGGCGAAGCCGGTGGGCGGAAGATTCAATAATATAAAACTATAGTTCCTTTTATCTGTATTTTCTTGATTATTTTGTCCTTCTTGTTCCTCTTCATTGTTTCTTGTTGTTCTTCTTTATTCTCTCTGTTGTCTTTTTTCCTTGCCTTCCTCCCTTCTTGTTGTCTTTCTTTCCTTCTTTCTGTCTTTGTTCTTTATTTTCTTTATTTTATTTCTTTCTATTGCTTGGTGTTGCGCCGTTCTTTCTTTTCGTGTGTACGTGTGTGTAGGCAGCTATCTATCCATTTGTCTATTTGTCTCTCTCTATCTCTCTATCTCTCTGTCTATCTATCTCTATCTATCTATCTAGCTAACTATCTATCTCTCTATCTATCTATGTCTCTCTGTCTCTCTCTTTTTCTCTTTCGATTTATGTATCTATCTAAGCTATCTATCTATCTATCTATCTATCTATCTATCTATCTATCTATCTAGTTATCTATCTATATGTGTATCTGTTTCTCTATCTATCTATCTCTATCTAGCTATCTACCTATCTATCTATCTATCTATCTATCTCTCTATCTAGCTATCTACCTATCTATCTATCTATCTATCTATCTATCTATCTATCTATCTATATGTCTATCTAGCTATCTACCTATCTATCTATCTATCTATCTATCTATCTATCTATCTATCTATCTATCTATCTATCTATCTATCTATCTATCTAATCGATCTCTCTCTCTCTCTCTCTATCTATCTATCTATCTATCTATCGATCTATCTATCTATCTATCTATCTATCTATCTATCTATCTATCTATCTATCTATCTATCTAATCTATCGATCTATCTATCGATCTATCTATCTATCTATCTATCTATCCTATCTATCTATCTGTCTGTCTGTCTATCTATCTATCTATCTGTCTGTCTGTCTATCTATCTATCTATCTATCTATCTAATCTATCCAATCTATCTAATCTATCTAATCTATCTAATCTATTCTATCTAATTTATTTAATCTATCTATCTATCTATCTATCTATCTGTCTACCTATATATCTATCTAATCTAATCTAATCTAATCTAATCTAATCTAATCTAATCTAATCTATCTATCTATCTATCTATCTGTCTATCTAATCTATCCAATCTATCTAATCTATCTAATCTATCTAATCTATTCTATCTAATCTATTTAATCTATCTATCTATCTATCTATCTATCTATCTGTCTACCTATATATCTATCTAATCTAATCTAATCTAATCTAATCTAATCTAATCTAATCTAATCTAATCTATCTATCTATCTATCTATCTATCTATCTATCTATCTATCTAATCTATCTAATCTATCTATCTATCTATCTTTCATCCATTTGTATCCATTTATCCATGTATCTAGCTCCCTGTCTGTACTTCACCTTGCGAAAATGCTGCCCGTGCCACGAAGTCTGTACTTCACCTTGCGGAAATGCTGCCCCTGCCGCGAAATCTGCACTTGGCCTTGCGAAAGTGCTGCGCCTGCCACGCAATTAGAACCTAGCAAAACCTTCACGTTGCCGTGCCATTGGGTTCGCGCTCCGAGAGTGTTCCGAGACTGGTCCGAACACGGTCCGAACGCGGCCCGACCAGGCGCCGCGAACAGGCGCTCTCCGGAGACGCCGATTCACGCACAGGGTCACGTGTTTTGCGCATTTCTATTCTCCCACCAAGCGCGCGCATTTTGTCTCGCGCGCTTATTCCTTCTCTTGTCATCCGTCCTCAGAGAGCTAGCTTTCAATTAGTTGCCGTAACACGGAAGTTCTATCTAAACTTCCTTTGATTACTATTCCCGAAAGCATCGCGAAGGCTGACTTAAGCAGCCTAGCTTACGCAGCGGGACTTACTCAAGCTGACTTACGCAGCCTGACTCACGCAGCCTGACTCACGCAGCCTGACTTACGCAGCCTGACTTACGCAGCCTGACTTACGCAGCCTGACTTACACAGCCTGACTTACGCAGTCTGACTTACGCAGCCTGACTTACGCAGCCTGACTTACGCAGTCTGACTTACGCAGGCTGACTTACGCAGCCTGAGTTACGCAGCCTAGCTCACGCAGCCTGACTTACGCAGCCTAGCTTACGCAGCCTGACTTACACAGCCTAGCTTACCCAGCCGAAGCTCGCAGCTTTTAATTCTATTTTCTTTCTCAGCCGGGGGCGGGTCTGGCGGGCGCTGGCGGGATGGACCCTCTGCGGGGATCGTGCGTGTCGGAGCGCTCTCGCCCGTGCGAATTTTCTACGTCGCCAACGAACCCTCATTGACCTTTTGGAAGGTATGGTGCGGCAGAGGAGACATGTTTTATGGCTGACGTCACAGCTCTCAAGTTTGACTTCTGCACTTCACCAAGGATCCGCTCTTTCCTGGCAGACACACACAAAGACATATACACACACATGTGCAGCATCGCAGCTTCTAAACAGTGAAGCTATTTGACATTTGAAGCCAAACAAACAATGCGCTGACATGATCTGATTTCGCGACTCATCCTTCTTTCATGCCCACTTGCACTTGCACTACTTTGAAGCATTTGCAAAAACTTTTGATCCTACACGGCTTCTGAGGAGTGAGAGTCCGGATCTGGGCAAGAGATCCGGGAGTCTGAGTAGGACCTGTCTGTTAGGGGCAAGGACAGACGTGACGAGGGTCTGACGTGGATCCGCTGTTTGGTTTGCCGAACCTGACATGAGTTAGTTTGCTTGATCTTGGTCCGAGCGGCTGCCACGTTTCGCCTGGCAGCCGAAGTGGCGACGGGTTTTCCACGTCGGCCCTTGCAGGCCCTGGCATGGTGGAGTGTTGACACTGACTGGATCCGCGATAGTCCGGAGCTCCCAGTGTGATGAATGGAACGGGGCAAAGCCAGCGAGATGCAGTCAAATAGCTTTTTCCTCAACAGTGTATTTGACCAATGTTGCGTTTTGTCAGGTTTCTAGATTGACTGCTGTGCCTTCGTTGTTCAAGCACATTTACATTTTGTCAGTCGTGGTGAGAAATAAATACACGGACAGGCCTACCCAGATGCTTTTGGTGGTTTGGAGTGGGGGACAGTGGGCAGCACCCGAAAAGGGACGTCGGCCAAGGTTCACATGAGATCCTCGCAGCGTACAACTTCTTCTTCGAGCACATCGGCATCCGCAAAGGCCTCCTCCTCCTCGTGTTTGACACTGTTTTTTTTGGTCACTTCAAACTGGTCTATGAAACCAGCATGATGTCTGTTGGAAAAGACGTGTAATTTGACGAGCGCCCTTGTGGTGAGTGATAAATGACAGGTTGGTTTCAGCCCAGTTTCGCTTTTGGCCGGTGAGATTAACGTTCCATCAAGTGGACACTTCTCCTATCCTCTTCAAGCTACCAGGGATTGCCTGGATTCCAGAAATAGTGGGTTGGGTAGCATGCATGGAGCAGAGCTTAACATTAGGGCAGATTTCCGCGTAAGTGTGTTGCGCAAGTGCACGTGGCGTGGGTGATCGCAAAAGCTAGCCCTGTGCTCGCGTAAGCTCGCGAAAGCGCGTTGCCGAAAGACTTCCTTACGACCTAGGTTTGAGCAGGGAGTTTTGAACCAAACATGAGTAAGGCTGAAACTATCTGTTGCAGCTTGTGCGATTTCCATGCCAGCACTAGACGCACGAAGCTGAAGATGGGTTTTTCGGGGACCAGCGTGCGCAAATTAGTGCCGTGGAGTTTCTTGTGGCTGCATGTTTCTGTGTGTGTGTGTGTATGTAGTGTAGGATTCCTTTTTGAGGTGGGAGCATAATCGATCCTCTAACATGGTTTTGCACACTTGCCCGTACCAACCATATCCCATGCCGATTTCCTTCAAAGGAAGCCATAGGAGCATATGGGTGTGGCCCAAAATACGGTAACTCCAAAATGGCTTGCCCTGCTAGATGGAAACATGGACTAAGACCTGCGGTGCAATTGCTGATGGTTTAGTTTTGACAAATATTTACTCCTTGTCTTTTTGTCTCACGCCTCGGCTTAAGGCTGAGCGATCGATTCGAGACACCGGCAAGGCTGGCGAACCCCACCCTTCAAGAGGGAGGAGGTCCAGGCGGCGCGTAAGCGTGCGGAATCTCTTGGGATCGGACGTATTTGGGTGTGTCGTTTTTTGAGAATATGTGGAATTTCCTTTTGGTTTTCACTTTAAACACCACCCCAAAATGGTTGGTACATTTGCGTGGGCAATAAAAAGTTTTGAAGCCCAAGGGCCTAAATGAGGGACGGGCAGTGGGCACGTTAAAGGCTCATGAGGATCGAGAAGGGAAAGGAAATGCGGAACCTCCCGTTTCTGAAGGACGGCCGTGCAAAGCGGGGGCTCAGGTTGCGCAAGTTGTGAGGGTGCACTTTGCAGGTGCCCCTTTGGCCTTTGCACCAAGCCAGCCGTGCATTAGGTAAGACCAGTTGAATTACTTGTACCTGGCTTTGGCCATGCCTGCTTTAATACACAAGGGCTAACAAGGGCTTGCAGGGGGTCGGTGAATCGCAAGCAGATCTGATCAAGCAGACATTTTCATGAGGCAAATCCAACGTGTGGTTGCAACAAAAGCAACCATTGGCCTTCTTTGAAGTGGCACAGGAAGAGTCTGAAGGAATTTGGGGCGTAGAGCGCGTGCTTTGCTGTGGACCGGAGACTCGTTTTGGTTTGATGGACCCCTCACAGCCTATGAAACAACGAAAAGGGAGAGGTTTATAGGTGCTATGTTCCCTGGTCAAACAATGGGAGGTTCTTTTGGCACCCTAGATGGGTCCACTCCGCCAGGGACCCTTCATGGCCGCGGCTGAAGTGGTAGCAGTGGTGCGCAGGGGGGCCACAGAAAACAAAACGGGCGGGGTTTGTCTTTTCCCAAGCTCCCTCCAAGTTGCCTATGGCTCGCAACGAAGTACTAAGGTCGGATCCCACTCATTAGCTGTGGCCCTTTCACTGAACGATCCCCTCGGGTGTAAGTCCACTCAATGGGTTCGGGACGCCAGTGGCCAAAGAAGAATGCGTGTAACATCCGATGTCGGAACCCGTTTCTTGGAGTTAGTGGGTCACCCAAGGAGAGACATCCGGCCCCCGTACCCCGCAGAACGGCCCTCAGAACCCTATTCCAAGAGGGTTTTAAGAACCGGACCCGAGGTTTCGCTTCAGGCGGACATCTGCTGTGTTCGGCTGGTCCAAGTGTTTTTCACCCCGGGAATAAAGATACACTCAAGAGGAATCATATTTTGTGGTTTGGTTATGGGCAAAAAACGAGGTTGAAGGTTTCCTTTGGAAACACAACATATTCATCAGATGTTCTGTTTTTGTTCAATGTGTTTGTTCCCCTATTTGGAGACGGCAAATCTATTCAAGGTGCTCTTCGCCCCCACCCCCACCTTTACTCCTCTCCAACCGCCTTCATTTCGACGCCTTTGGTTTTTCTGAGGGCATCGCATCGACGAGATGGGCCAGGGTATGGTCCTCCGGCAGCTCGAGGACGGCTGAGACCAGTCGCGTTTCCTCGTTGTGTTGCTTGGGAAAATGGGAAAACCAACAGAGGGACCGGTTTGGTTCCGGGGTTGGGGGGGGGGACGGTGATAGGCGGCTTATGGTTCCACTGCTTCTTTCCAGAGATTGTTGGGTCCCTGCGTGTGCGCGTGATATTTTGCCTGTTATGCGGCTTCGGCAGAGTTGAGTGGTTTACATCAACCGTGTTGATACTGTTCCGTTTATCTTCGCTTTGTCTCGTCCACTTGGCATTCTTCTCACTCAGTTTTCATGTTGCCCCAGCCGCTTTCACCCTTAGTTGTTTGTTTCTTCCCCACTCCAGCCCACTTGCCGGTGCTTTCATGGGTCCCATGTCATGTGGAACGAACCCCTCGAGGAAGGCCACGGAACAACTCGTCCAAATGTGGAACTTCCTTTCACGCTTTTCTCAGTTTTGTAGGTTCCCACTTTCTGTCATAGTATTCATTTATATTCCCTTCAAGAGTGCCATAGGCCGGTCAGATGAGAATCAAGAACTTGGGTATCGCAAGTGGCCCTCCGCATGACAGGAAAAGGAGGTAAGCTCCCTTTTCCTTCTTCCTCCTTTCCGCGGGCGCAGTCATCGACCGTCAGGGCTCCTCTCAAGACTTCCTCTGGGGTTGGAGTTCGGAGAAGGCACCCAACCAGGCCGCTTCCGCCGCCGGGAGGGGCGGGGGTGGGGGGGGTAGGCGCTGGTCCGGGAGGTTTGGAGGATGGCACAGGACCAGCTGTGCCAAACCGGATGGCGCATGACCATGAAAGCATTGCTCGCTTGAATGAAGCTCCGTGTCCGTGCCCTGATTCTCATTGTTTAACGCTTTTCCGTAGGAGATACCTGGTTCGACTACTGTGATCCAACCGCGTTGGGTCCACCATTGAGAGCACGGGCACCCTCCAAGGCCTTGACAATTGAGCTGGCCAAGACATAGCAGCTACCAGGTTACCATTGTGCAAGACACTGGTAAGGATCTGAGTTCACACTTTGACCGGAAGCTGATAACAAGTTCACACGCCGATTTATAAGTGCGGTGAGCAACTCTGGTGCGTAGGTTCCCGCCCTCACACCACACCGTTTGTCTTACCACGCACACCTCGTGATGGCTGGCATGCGGAATCCGAAAGACAACTGTGCGGAGGATCTCTTGCTAACCCAGTTTGGATGTGTGCGTGCGTGCGTGCGTGCGTGCGTGCGTGCGTGCGTGCGTGCGTGCGTGCGTGCGTGCGTGCGTGCGTGCGTGCGTGGTGTGCGTGCGTGCGTGGTGTGCGTGCATGGTGTGCGTGCGTGGTGTGCGTGCGTGGTGTGCGTGCGTGGTGTGCGTGCGTGCGTGCGTGCGTGCGTGCGTGCGTGCGTGCGTGCGTGCGTGCGTGCGTGCGTGCGTGCGTGCGTGCGTGCGTGCGTGAGTGCGTGTGTGTGTGTGTACCAAGCCGTTTGGTTGGTGCCAAACATGTCAACAACCTTTTCACGTATGACCTCATGTGCCTAGGAGGGATAGAAGAACAACGCTATGTGCCTTTGTGGCACGTAGCCCAATTGAAGAGTCAAACAAGTAAAACGGATATGCCAGTAGGTACTCAAATTCGTAAAGCATGGGTGATTTCCCTTGTCAGCTGTCAACATATTTCGCTCGGCGGTTGGAAACATCACCGTTGGCCAGACTTAAAGTGAGTTCCCTTTCAGTGGGAGGATGTTTCCAGGTTCATCAGTCCGTTGGGGTTTTAGGTCTTAAGCCCAGTGGTTTGCACACACCCAATGGTTTTGTATACAACCATCGGGGTCATGGTTGTTTTGGTAGAACATAGACGGCCCTGGTTGACTGGTTGTTTCATAGTCAAAAAGGGGCCATCCATTTTCCCACAAGGCCACGTATGCAAACAGCTGAACCCTAGAATGGGATTCGCAGAGGGTCCAAGTACCTGCTAAGGAGGTGCTTAGATCCCTTTTCACCCCCCAAAAGCATCCAAAAGCCATCCTCATGAAGTACTTGGACCCTCTAATACTTCGAGTCCACCGATCTGACGAAGGCCCCGTGGCTGGTCGAGTTCTTCCGTGGCTTGGTCTTCGCCACCCTCAGCGACGCCAATGGCCTGGCCGCGCCGGCGGGATTGAGCCCTGGAGGGCGGCCGAGAGCGCAAAGCTCAGCCAGAGATGGGTGTATGAGTAAGCCAGCATGATGCCAACTATGAGAATTCTATAAGTAACCGGTACATTTTTCGAGGGCCCAGGCAGAAGGGCGAGGATTTCTTGGGTGTGTGGGCTTGCGCCATGTCAGCATAGGCAATGACTGAGTATGTTGCTCCAGCGGGGGGATGAAAGGAAGAAGAAGCTCGACTAGAGCAATCCACTAGCGAAGACGCATGTTGGTTTGAGTGGCTGCATTTGCTCCGTTCCTGCTGAGAACGACAAGAACTGCGATGAGACTCGTTGCGCCTCAAGCGGGCAATGAAGGCCGTTTACGTTGTTTATTTTCGTTTTTTTGGAAGGCAACACTTCTCGAGACTGTTCATCTCCTGGCCTGATGGAGAGTTGGCTGAGAACTGTGGCACGCAATGCCACGGGTTGCTTTGACACGCGAAAAGCCCAAGGCCTCCACGCCGCTCACTCCCTGCAAACAAGTTGGGACGTTTTCAGCAATCCATTCAGGAAGTGAGGCACGGAAGGCAGACAGAAATCCCTTGACAGGTCGAAGGCTTGGACGATGCCACGCTGAACTACTACGCTCCTCAGCTCATTGCGATAACCAGAGCCATCGCTTTTCCAAGATTAATCAAAGGGCGTCGTTCTGCGAGTTGTTTGTCAAAATTGGCGCACCCCAAAATGGGTGGTTTGCCATTGGTCTCCTTTGAAACCCAACCCAAAGAAGTTTACTCTCAGAAATCACCCATGTGGTTTCAACAGATTGCCCAGGTCGAAAGCCATCCCATCCTGGAGCACTCAGCGGCGCTGGAGCGCATCGCTACGGAAGATGTGCTGAGAGGCTGCAGAGATGCTGTGGGCAACGGGCTTTGGGTGGCTTTGAGTCCCTATATTGTGTGTGTCCCTTCGTGGTTAGAACATCGCCCTCTCTTGGCCCATACTATTTCGGCTGCATGCTTAGTAACCGCCCTCAAGATTGCCAAGGTGAAACGGGGCTTTTGGCGAGTGGTACGGTATTTGTCATTGTTCTGTTTGTTTGTTCATTGTTGTGTTGTTGGGCGGGAAAGGTTTGAACCAAGCGGAGTTTTGTTTTAAGCGCTAAAAGAAGAGTAAGGGTTGGTTGTTTGTTGAACCCTGTCTTAATGCACAATAGTTTTAAAAGCGGGGATTCAGGGAGGATCACAAATTGTATTATATAATCAGGAGATTACTAATCAGGTGCCAACATTAGTTGAGTTTCCCTTGGTGGGGATGATGTTTAAGGGTAACCACATCGAACCCTGGCAGAGCGGGCTAGTGGATTGACTGGAGGGACGTCTAGGGCAACTTACATCGCGACATCACAGAGGAGTTTGGTGTGCGACCTTTTCCATGAAGAATCATTGGGTTTCACCCGAAAATGGTGCGATCACTTCCCGTGGGCGAGTAAGGACATGTGGGCAGTTTGTTGCCCGCGCCTTTTTGAAGCTAAGTTTCGGACTGGTGATTTGGACTATCTTCAGCCAGGGTGTCTCCAAAAAGAGTAGTACTAATAAGATTGCTTGAGTTGTCACACTGGCGCAACAAATTAAAGTCAACCTGGCACTGGTATGAACACTATGATTCACAACAATTGACTGCTTTGTCATGATCATGATGATGACGATGATGGTGATGGTGATGATAGCAATGATAGGAATGTCATCCAGGATGGCGCAATTCACATGGGCCCCAAAGGCGAGAGCTCAACACCATTTTGCATTTCCAGCACGTCCCCGTTCACAATGTGTTTCTTTGGAAGTCCTTGGAAGATGCACTCCCGCCAGTTTTCGGATGTTCGACGGTAGGTGAGCTCAGGTACCATCCCTGAGTTCCCTAAAGCCAGCGCCTGTGGGCTTGAGATGGAAATCAAAAAAGCGCCCAAGTCTCAGAGCCGAAGGACCAGGTCTTTGGATTCGGTCCTTGCATCGGCCAGGCAAGGCGCCAGTAGAGAACCAGGAGGCAGGGGGGAGGTTGGGGGATATGAGGCCAGGGGTTTAGGTTTCGCTTGTATCCTTGTTTGACATCAGTTTTCACTTTGAGTTTACTAAATAGGGGACATACATGGACATCACATGTTTTTTCAAAACCATTTGTAGAGATCCTGGTCGTCATTCTGAATTGCGCGTCAAGCTCGTTGTTTGTTTATTCTCCAAAGGGTACCAACCTGGGCTGTCGAGTCACCAGCCAATTGAGAATTCTGCTGCAAAACTGTTTGGTTCTTGCTTTCAACTGGTGGGTTTGCTTCAGTTTGGGGATGGCCAAGGGTTCAATTCTAAAACTGCCTTGCAAAACACATGGTTGTTTAGTGACGTTGGTTAGATTTTCCTTCAAAACCAACAAAAGGAATAGTTATATCTTTGTTGTTCTGGGGGGAGTTCCCTTCTCAACCTGGCTTGAAAAACAATTGACTATGATGTGTGGGGGTACCGTCCCATTTGGCAAGCGGAACTGGGGGTTGAACCACCCCAATTCAACGCAGGGGTATTCGGTGATACAGGCGCGAGCAACTTGTGAGAAAGAAGACGTCCCCCGAGCGCCAGCTGGAGAACAATTCGGCTAGGTCAATTGAAAGTTAGGAGATGTTGAATCCTGGACAGTAGGCTAGGCCCGCTGCCGTCCTGTTTATGACTATCTTGTCGGGCAAGTTGTATGAATGCCCTCCTTGAAGTGGTGATTTCCTCTTGGAGGCATCCATGCCTGTCAACAGGGACTCAGTTTGGGCCAAGCTTTTTGCCGATTCCAGTAGTCCAATGCTGTGCCGGATTTCAGGTGAAGCTGAGCCCAGCAAACTGCACCTTTCCGCTTTCCTCTTCCGTTGAAGACCATGTGAAGAACCCCTCTTATGGACGTCTCAATCGGCAATCCCTCCCCCCACCCCCCAAAAAAAAAACCAACACATATATAAGATAAATAGCAATCACATAGAAGTAACATTATGTTCACTCAAAATGAAGGATATGGACCCAGCCCATCACAAACACAAACAGGGAAGCAAGCAAGCAAGCAAACAAGCAAGCAAGCAAGCAAGCAAGCCAACAAACGAAACAACAGAAGCCTCCAAACAACCTCCAAGAACCCTCCAGAAAAGTCCCCAACGCAGACTTCGCAACAAATGGATGCGTCATTCTGGAGAGCCTATTGCTCGTGCCGGGTGTTCGTGAGGCAGCGGAAGTGAACGTGGAACAAGAGGAGAAGAAGGAGCCTGCGAACTAACAAAGGTTTGAAGCTATCTTACCTTAGGTTTAATATATTTCCCATGTTAGTGTTTGGCAGGCCAGGGTGACATGGTTTCATTTGAGGGGAGCGAGCGCTCTTGACCGGAATGGAACGCCATGGGCGGCCATTTTGGCTCAAGAGCCAAAATAGCATCTGTTTTCTTTTTTGTCTGATTGTGCCATGCTCGGTCATGCGGTTCGCCGTGCAGCTTGGTCCACTACTTCAGTGGACTCGGCAGCGAACCTGCTTGCCTTCAATATGTGGGCCAATCAGGCTGAAAGATCCGAGGTGGCTGCGATCCTATGCGACATCTGCATTGTGGTCCATGCCCCCTATGAGTATGTGCCCCTGGTTTGCCAGGGGCTGGACGTCATCCACGTCCCCTGTGTGGAAGATGGGTGCCTCCGTTGCAGGGATGCACGAGGAGGATACCGATTCGCCTGGCTTCACCCATCGTGGGCCCAGGCAGGATCACTCCCATCTCTTGGAGGGCGGACCCTTCCCTTCCCGGAGAACCAGAGGCAGCTGGCTTGGGAGGAAATCATGCCCTTGGTGGATACCACACGGAGCCTCGAGACCTTCTGCCCCCCCTTCATGCAGGTCCTCCTGGACCGGCCGGAAGACACCCTGGTGCCCCGGAGGACGCTCTTCTATGTGTGGGCGCATTGGCACCGAGCTCGCCAAGGATGGGTTGACCCCCAGTTCATGGAGGACCGGAGGGGCAGGCTGGGGTCCGAGTTGCTGCAATGTGGATCCATGTTGGCGGTTTGGCATGAGCAGGCGCGGGCAGGGTTGCCTATGCTCCCCCCGTGTGGCTGGTGTGGATTGCCAACCGGGAACTTTTGTGAGGTTTGTGATGGCCCCATTTGCAACGGATGTGAAGATGAGTTCGCGTACTGCCGGCGTTGCTGTACTGCACCTTGAGGTTTCAGCCCAAGACACCCCTGGTGTGGTTGGGAAGCCCGCCAGTGAAGATGCGGCCTGGTTGCTCCAGGCCTTGATGGGGACAGTCATCATGGTGCTGTTGTGCCCCCCAAGGAGTTCAGCTGCAACATCTTGGTGTGCGGCCAGCCCCCTGTGCCCTACGTTGTTCCAGAACGAGACAAGCAGGAGGCTGTGGCATGTTTCAAGCGGAGAGCAGAGCAGGCAGTGAGCACTAGTGAACCTGCCACCATCCACAGGGCCATTTGCACATGGGACAAGCTGGTCTGTTTTCTCAAAGGCACCAATCGCAAGTTCCATGAGTTGCAGGCCCCAGGAGTGGAGACCTTTGTCCATGCACACAAGGCCCCTGGTAGGGCCTTTACGTCACTCAAATGGCTGGCCCGGAACCTCCTGCTCAGGCTACCAGTGGATCAAGTTTTGCCACCTAGAGCGTCAAAGCCGCAGGCCGCTCTGGGGACTGGCGCCAGGCAGGCCCCGGTGCTGGAGCCAGCAATGATCGCCACCTTGGAAGCCGCGATCCGGAACAGCCACGACGTAGGCCATCCGGCATGGTTGGGGCTCTTGGGACATTGGATCCAGATGACTGGATGTGCCCGGATGGCGCATCTGACTAGAGCCTATGTTCTCAGGGTCAGCCCTTCCATGGTCCACTGCCATTGTCCAAAGGGAAAGCAGCGGCAATTGCGAGCCTGTGGGTTTGTTTTTGCAGTACCGCGCTTTTTCATGTGCACTTCTTTTGACTGGTGGAAAGCCTGCAAGCCTGCCTACTTCGCCTTGTCCCAAGAGCAACGCAAGCAGCTGGGTTTGGTTTTTGACACCATAAAGAAGGCCCCCCTGACCCGTGAGGCCACGGTCACTGCGGTGAGGACCGCCCTGAGCCAGCAGGTACAAGAGGTGCAGATGCTGACCAGTTACTCAGCAAGGAGGGTGCTGCCGACCCTGGCCATGCTGGTTGGCATGGATCCCAGCGAGACGCTCGCCCTCTCAGACTGGCAGCTGAAGCCGGCGGATGAGCAGTCTGCCATGCCGCTGCGGTACTCGTCGGCCAGATACCACGTCTCAGTGCGGGTGAAGCTACTGCTGGTCGGGGCCCTCAGTCGAGCTATCAGTGACAGCAGAGCCACAACTTGGGAAAGTTTGGGGGTTGAGCAGTGGAAGAGCCACATAGCCAATTGCACGCATGAGGTAGACCGCATGTTAGTTGCAGAGGCACGCAGTGAGTGGACTTCTGTGGATCTTGCGGCTCGAAGCATTCGACGGTTTGCCCTCCGGTCACCCGCTACGAGTATGGCATACCAGGATCAGCCCCTGTTGGGTGCCATTCCAGGCAAGGTGCTGCGCCTGCGATTGAAGAGCACAGGGGTGATGCTGTGTGTCAACTTTCAGACTTGGCAGTGTGAGGATCCTGACTGCCAGAAGGAGCATAGATGTGCAGTCCTTTGTGGCAGCGGCCGTACCTGTGGTGGACAGCATCCGGCCATCGACTGCTATGAGAAGCGTTACCTGCGTGAGGAGCGCTTCCGCATGGATCAGGACGAGCAGTGGCCCCATGTTGGACCTAGCTCCAGCAGGCAGCCCCCATCACCAGCTTCGGGCAGTGGCCCTGAGGCATCAGGAAGCCACGAGGCACCGGTGGGAGGCGTCCCCTTGCCAGTGTGGCCCATGCCCAGCCCATCTGGTGCTGCGGGAGCAGTGCCAGAGCCTCTGCACCCCCGTCTGCGGCAGCCCTAGCCGCGAGTCGGGGCAGGAAGAGGGCCCGAGATGAGGAGTGGAGATCATCGATGAGGTGGCGAACTTGGATGCGGAGGCTGATGAGGTCTATGACCAATGGGCCCACGAGCGGTGGAGCAGGCCAGGCCACAGCGGCCAGCCGGAGCCACCTTCCAGAGTGAAGCTGGGCCCGGGGATGGGCAGCATTCATTGGTCCCTTGCCACACCGGGAGGCTGCGGGAAACGTGCTGCGTCTCAAGTATGCAGCGGCCGATACCCGCGACAGGGATCAGGAGCTCATGCCCACCTGGCACGCGATCGAGGCCACGGTCAAGCATGGGGAGTCGGTCCTGATCCACTGCATGGCCGGTGTCCACAGGGCACCATATGCAGCTGCCCCACCTATCGCTGCCTTGATTGGGTGCTCGCTGCAGGAGGCCGTGGGCCGGATCAGGGATGTCCGGGCCGTGGAAATCGAGAAGATGTGGACAGGCCGCAGGGGGGAGGACCATTGGGCCTGGGCTGCTCAAGCAGTGCGGCGGATGAAGGGACGTCAAGCTGCAGCAGCCCCCATTGAGGGGTTCCAATTCTCCACGCGCCCCAACTCACAGGTACACGCGGTGTCAGATGGAGTTCCACTTTGCCAGCAAAGACGAGGCGCTCGCGGAGGGCTAACAGGTGCGAGGCTTTGGCATACAACCGTGATCGGCGGTCATGCACTAGCTGGGCGCCAGCAGTGGCACGTGAGTGGGCTATGGCACCAATGGCTGTGCTGTTGGGGTTGGACCTCTCCAGGAATCCCCTCTTCCAGCGGGTGCCAAAGCGGCGTGCTATTGCGGAGTTCAACCTGGAGGATATCAAGACGGGAGGCCTTCCCCCGAAACACATTTATGTGGGCATGGGGCACCATTCCCACAGGCTCGTACGCAGCAAGGGGTCCCGTGAGGAGTGCTTCCTGCTGTACATCCAGATGTTACATGAGCAAGGGCTCTCCCATGGGTTGCATGAACTACACGGTAAAGTTCTGGTATGTGATTGTGCTCCAGGCCAGCTCTGTCATGCTGATGCACTAGTGGCTGAGGTCGCGGCGCAAGTGGAACCCACCTTCAAGCGCAGCGCGGCAGTGCTGCCACGAGGGATGCCGTTGCGGAAAGTACTTCTGGCTAGTGCAGCGGGCGCGCAGGCTCTGCCGTGGTCGCCAGCGCTTCTCTTCAAGCAGGAAGAGGTGGTGGCGGCCTTTGCGAAGCTCTACCCCGCCTTTTGCACTGAGACCATGCAAGAGTGGCCTATGATCGAGGACCTGCTTCAACATCCGGCTTTTCTGAGGTATACTGAATGGAGGCTGCAGGCTGGCTTGCCAGTGGATGAGCCCTTGGGACCTTCACACCTGGACAAGGCCGGTCGGTATGCCACCCGCGTCAGTGCCGGGAGGCAGGATGGGGCTATGGCGCACAAAGCTGCTCTTCCACCAGTGGTTTCGTTTGGATTGTCTCCGGATGCCCACTTCAAGGCAGCATTGGAAGCCAGCGCACGGCCGTCGCCTTTGGAAGAGTTTATGTGCCTGGACACTGACCTCCATTTTGCGGCGGACCGCACCTGGTTTTAACAGGGGGAGCAGCCTGGCGTGATGAGGCTGTGGGCGTCATGAAGGAGCTAGCCCGGCGATGGATGGCGGTCACCAAGCACCTTCGTCAGTTCCAACCACCAGCTGTTGCCGCTGTGACTAGGCAGAGGCATATTGCTCTTGTTGGACTGCTGGTGCTGCTGCTGGCATGGCCGGACCCGCCTCGCCCAGGACTTGGTTTTCGGGTTTCCCGCTGTGGGTTTTGCCCCCCCCTGTGGTGCCTTTGCCCCCAAGGAAGTTGAACCTATTCCGTTGGCCGAAGTGTTGAGTGACGCTGAGCATGACAACCTGATCTTGTTGAAATCCCTGAGACCCGGAAAGATGGATCAGTTTATTTTGGAAAGCGGCCTCAAGGATGCCGCCAAGGGTTTCTGTACTGAGCCACTCTCTTGGGAACAGTTGCAGCTTCAGGTTAACCATCGACCAGTCAGACTCATCCCCCGTTTTGCAGTCACCCAAAGCACTGGGAAAGTTCGCCCGATTGATGATGCGGATAAAGGCGGGCAGAGCAGGCTTTCTCGTGATGGGAATCACCTGGAGTTCTGCTCCGCCATCCGCCCGGCCCAGCACGTGTGGGCCTTGCACCAGGCCGCAGTCAGGGATGGCGCGGTGCTTGCCCAGGCTGATGCAGGGTTGCACAGTGGGGGGGAGGACTGGCCAGATGCTTATCGGTTAGTCCCAATCGAGCCTGCACATGCGGAAG